TGGGGGGGGGGGGGGGGGAGGGCAGAATATTTTATTTTCTTAGCCTGTTTGTGATAAAACCTTCTGGTTTGTCGTTGGAGGTGTCATTGCTGGGAGAAAAGTCGTGCCATCGCCCGCTGCGGTGAGCTCAGAGCATGTTGCTAAGGGCCGGCCCCAGGCGGTTTCTGGAGCACCATCTTCTCTTTGTGGAGAATGCAGAGCAGCAGCACCCGGCTCAGAAATCGCTCCTGAATCCATTCATGACTGAGGAACCCTCCGTCCCAGCCGAGCCAGACCCACCATCCTCCAACCTCACCAACGCGACGGACTGCGGCGAGGAGATCCTGCTCTATGGGGACACCGAGAAGATCGTCATCGGAGCGGTGCTCTCCATCATCATCCTCATGACTATCGCCGGCAACGGCCTGGTCATCATCTCTGTGTGCATCGTCAAGAAGCTCCGGCAGCCCTCCAACTACCTGGTGGTGTCCCTCGCAGCCGCCGACCTGTCGGTTGCCTTCGCTGTCATGCCCTTCGTGACCATCACAGACCTGGTGGGGGGAGAGTGGCTCTTTGGGAAGGTTTTTTGCAATGTCTTTATCGCCATGGACGTTATGTGTTGCACTGCCTCCATCATGACCTTGTGCATCATCAGCGTGGACAGGTAAGGGAGGACAAGGCACCCGCCACGTATTCAGGTGGGCTCAAATATGGAGGAGCTTCTGAAGGGTGAGGGCCACCAGAGTCATGTTCCTGGTTGGATCAATGCTTCTGCATGTGTTTTCCAGGTGCACGGGGTTGCTGAGGGCTTTCCATATGAATTACGGGCCTCAGTCCTTTTGGAGGAGCTGGGCTTAAGGTGCTTTCTCAAGTAACTTCTCTAAGTTGCTTGCTTAGTCCTCCCCCTCTAGGCAGCTGCTTCACGTTGCTCTTTCTTGGCTTGAGGAGCGTTGCCTAGAGAATAGAGCCATGACCTGACCTTCTCCATGGAAGGAGGCTGGACCATAAAATTACCCAACAAAACAAACAAATAAACCCCACATGCACTTTGAAAATCCAGGTCACAGAACTTCTGGAGCTTAGTCCTATGGGATGCTCTGCTGCTCCCTGGACTTCTGCCTCGGCTAAGGATGTCGGCAGTTCCCCCCACCCCATCCTAAGTCTCCAAAATCCCTGGTTTAGCCCAGTGCATGCATTGGTGAGGATTTGCTGGCTTCAACTCTCCCACACCCGGGGTCGGGAGGGGAAGGCTAAGCCTGTCTGGCAAACTGGCAAGACTCGGGCAAGTCAGCACCCCCATGGGTCTAATTATAGCAGCCTGCGTCATTAGGGACATTGCGCTGACGAGCCGGTGGGCTGGATCCAGATCTGACGTGCGTGCTGGCTTTCTCAGGGGGATGGTTTGGGTTTACGCCGGCACCGCTGAGCTGGGCTGGTTTGTGATAAGGAGCTCAGGGAAGGGAGACAGCCGATGAGATGTGTGCCCTCGGCTGTACCCCCTCCCTGGTCACCCTCCCGCCCTCCCCAGGTGTGAAACCGGGTGACAAAGCAGAAAGGATGGAGAAAATCCTGCTGCTGCTGGCTGGCGTTATATCCCGGCAAGCAAAGAGCAGCTCCTGCCCCACAGCCCTCGCCCCCGCTGGCCCCGCTCCCTACGAGCTGCCCTTGGCTCCTCGGCCCTGCTCCGCTGGGCACTGCTGGTTGGAAGGCAAAAGCACTCCCATGCCACACGATGGGGTCCGGCTCCGCTGCTGAACTTGCTTTGTTTTGATAAAAAGCCTGTTCCTAAAACCAGCAGGTGTATTCAGGGCTGGCAGCAGTCTGTCTGTTAGAGGGAAGGGAATAAATGCAGCAACGAAGTACGTCAGGGCTTCCTCCTGAGGAGTGGGGCGCAGGGGAGCAGCTGCACACTAGCCAGATTGGCTTTGCTTTAAAAGATTTCCTTTTTCCTTTTTCCTTTTTTTTCCTATTTACTTTTCTCTTTTTTTCCTTTTTTCCTTTTTTCCTTTTTCCTTTTTTCCTCTCTTTTCCCCTTTTTCCCCTTTTCCCCTTTTCCCCTTTTCCCTTTTTTCCTTTTTCCCTTTTTCCCTTTTTCCCTTTTTTCCTTTTTTCCTTTTTCCCTTTTTCCCTTTTTCCCTTTTTCCCTTTTTCCCTTTTTTCCTTTTTTCCTTTTTTTCTTTTTCCTTTTTTCCTTTTTTTTCTTTTTCCTTTTTTCTTTTCCTTTTTTTGCTTTTTCCTTTTTTTCCTTTTTCCTTTTTTTTTCCTTTTTCCTTTTTTTTCCTTTTTCCTTACCGTCCCATCCCGTCCCTTGGAGAAACACTGTTCCAAACTCGCACACAAATAGGACAGACCTTTCACAAAAATCACTACAATTTATTCTACTTGGCTCCATCACGTCTCTCATGAGCAGACCAAAATCGGAGGACGCTGTGCCTGGGGTTGCCATTGGGCCGCCTTTCCCTGCTGGAATGGGCCCGGGCAAGAGGTTTCTGGGAAGGGGTGAACACCAGCGTGGGGGGGCCCACACGTGCTGAGGCCAAATCCTGGGCAGTGCTGAGGGCCGTAGGGGAAGCTGGGTGGACAGGAGTTGCATCTGCATAACTCTAATCCCCAGCTTAAAAGGGAGCTGCCCTAAGGCTGCTCTAAGTTGCACCCACTGGTCGTACAGCCAGCGAGGATCTCTTTTAACTGGGTGGTGCTGGAGGCACTCGTGGGTGTGTTTTTTCTGCGCCCAGCACCCCCCCAGCTCTCTGGGGAAACACCTCCGCCCAGCTCACCCAGACGAGCTCGGTGGGACTCTGAGGAGCCCAGGACTTCATTAGTATTACCACATCCTCTTCTTAGAGTAATTACCTGACCCTAAGCCAGGTTTCTCTCTTCAGTACCACATTCACATGATGAAAATTCAGAAGACAAAGCTTTTCTATTTTCCTTCTCCAGCTCTTTTTTTCATTAGAAAACAGCTGGTAAGCAGCCTTATACTGAGATGTCCCAGCTTCAGTATAGTTCTCAGAATGAAGCTTTGGAAAAGGCACCATGCCCTTGATGTTTTCGTGAGTTAAGAGCATGCTTTATCTTGCGGGTTTTTTTCTTTTTTCTTTTTTTCTTTTTTCTTTTATCTTTTTTTATTTTTTCTTTCTTCTTTTTTTCTTGTTTTCTCTTCTTTTTTTCTTTTTCCTTTTTTCTTTTCCTTTTTTTGCTTTTTCCTTTTTTTCCTTTTTCCTTTTTTTTCCTTTTTCCTTTTTTTTCCTTTTTCCTTTTTTTTCCTTTTTCCTTCCCGTCCCATCCCGTCCCTTGGAGAAACACTGTTCCAAACTCGCACACAAATAGGACAGACCTTTCACAAAAATCACTACAATTTATTCTACTTGGCTCCATCACGTCTCTCATGAGCAGACCAAAATCGGAGGACGCTGTGCCTGGGGTTGCCATTGGGCCGCCTTTCCCTGCTGGAATGGGCCCGGGCAAGAGGTTTCTGGGAAGGGGTGAACACCAGCGTGGGGGGGCCCACACGTGCTGAGGCCAAATCCTGGGCAGTGCTGAGGGCCGTAGGGGAAGCTGGGTGGACAGGAGTTGCATCTGCATAACTCTAATCCCCAGCTTAAAAGGGAGCTGCCCTAAGGCTGCTCTAAGTTGCACCCACTGGTCGTACAGCCAGCGAGGATCTCTTTTAACTGGGTGGTGCTGGAGGCACTCGTGGGTGTGTTTTTTCTGCGCCCAGCACCCCCCCAGCTCTCTGGGGAAACACCTCCGCCCAGCTCACCCAGACGAGCTCGGTGGGACTCTGAGGAGCCCAGGAGCTTCAGGCCCTTGCTGCAAAACTCTCGCTGCTGGTGCTGAGCTGCAAAGAGGGAAAAGCATCCCAAATCCCCCCCCCCCCACAGGCAGAGGGTCCCATGCCTCATCTCATGCAGGTCTCAAGCACCTGCTTGGCTCTGCTGGCTGAGCAAACCCCACCGTCCTCTTTGGATGTTGGAGAGGAAAGGGGAGCTGCATCAAAAGGAATGACAGAGGGAGCCGGTTGCCGGGTGGTTTTATCCAAGGGCTTGACCTTTCTGTGCTTCGGGCCTCTCAGCAGGGTGGTGGAGGAGAAACCTGTGATACAAGAGGCTGCCACAGAGCCTGAGTCTTCTGGCTCGGGCTTGCTCTTCGGGTGTGTTTTCACAGGGGCTGTGCCGTGCTTGGAGCTCGGCTGGGCTGCGGCGTCGCTGTTTGCTCCCAGACCTTCATCCCGCCCCACCAAACGCCCGATGGGGAAGCTGAGCAGTGAGAGGACAATTGCCCGAGATGCATTTTGAGCCAGGGAAAAGAGAAAAGGTTGTCATTGGAGTGGAAGGAGGACTGGCAGGGCGGAGGGAAGGGGTGGAGGGTCTTCCCGGCTGTGCCCACCTCGGCTCCGGGGGGAGGAAGGGCATGCTGCAAGTGCACAGGGGCTGGCGGGCGCAGTCCGTATTGGGGCTTGAGGAGGGAACAGGAATAATTGGACGCATGAAGGAGGAGTAGGCAACTGGGGCACTGTCCTGCTGCTTTCTGCCCCGAAGGATCCCAGGGTCGGGCTGTGTGGAATGCCCCATGGCCATATCTTGAGCATCCTGTAAGTCATCATTGCTCCACATCAACCCATCATCCTCATTGCTCCCACAAGGCAGTTGATGGAGGTAGATTGAGGGAGAGCACGGGTCCAGGACCATGCCTGTATCCCCACCTCCCCCCCAGCTTTGGGATGGGCAGGATTTTTTTTGTTTAGCTCCTGACAGGAACACCTCCAAAAGCACCCTTTTCAGCTACTGTGCCCATACAAAGCAAAGCCGACCACAAAGCTAAAGCAAAAGGATAGCTGAGTTTGCAGAGAGCCTGAAACCCCTGCTCCAAAAGAGAAGAAACGGTTGTTCATCTCAGTGAGGCATTATCTGAAATTCCCACCAGTGATGATGGCAAGCTGTGCCTCCTGCCCTGCAAGAGATAAGAGGAACAGCATTGATGCTCCTTGGGAATATCGATATCTCCTCTAGGGCTGCCCCGAACGCCGACTCGGTCAGCAGTGCTGGGCAGCTGCCTGCTCCTGCCAAAGAGGAGGTTGTGTTTTTATTGACAGCTGAAGTGTCCGCCTATTTTGGTTAGCTTAGATATAAAAGATGCTTGGTTTGCCCAGGATGACGAGTACTATTAAAATGTAGGCTGCTATTATTGATTATTAATGCAGAGCGCTTTCTAAAAGCCTCTTGATTGAAGCTGGTAGAACTAATCTTGTCTGAAGGGGGGTTTGATTGATTTTCCTTTAAATCAAAAACCGCTGGAAACATCCATCTTTCTCTTGCGTTTTTCTTATATAAAAGCCTGACAATGTTATAGATTCTTTATTGCCACAAACCAAAAACAAAACAACGCCAAAAAACCCCCTTTTCGCTGTTCAGCTTTGATGAAGCTCCCCGTAAAAATGCCAAGCAGCTGACAAAAGAAGCTCCCCAAACCCCACCTGTAATTTTAGGTTTTCCTACTGGAGGAAAAAGTCTCCATCCACTTCCCAGGCAGCCTGACTGGGGCTCTCCCATCTGCCTGGCAAGTATTTTCTACCCAAAACCGGATTATATGCTCCAGCTTGGCGTTGTCCTCCGCAAAAAGGATGCCTCCTGAAAGAGCCAGTGGGATGAAACCTGCACAGCGTTTTGCTGGGTTGCCTTTACCGTGCCCTTCATCTGAACGTGTCCCAGGCCAGGTAGGTCCCTGCGCCCTATCTCCAGTGAGCTGGAATGCATCCTTGGGATGCTCCCACCCACCACCCCTGGCTTAGACCATGGGCGGATAAAGCCACAGGTGGCTGCAGCCTCCAGCTACCCTTTGCATCCTCCACCTGGAGGTTCCCCCTCCTCCAGCGGGATGGGGCAGGCACGGTGGCAGCCTGGAAGCCAGGTACGGAGCTTAAATTTGTCCCAGAGGAGGCACGGGATTGCTGTAAAACAGTGGAGTCTGGGAAACCCCAATTCTGGGCTCATTTGGGCTCAGCCAACCTCTGTGAGTGGAGATTTGTCCTTTCCCAGTTCGCCAGCTGCAGAATGGAGATAGGGGCACTTTGGAGAGGTTTTGGTTTTCTTTATTATTTAATCCCCGGCATACGGATTCAATGATTATGAGCGGAGAATAAATGAACTGAGTTGGCCAATCCATGGGGTTGATGGTGGAGCCCAGCCTGGGGCAGGTCTCCTACCCTGCAGCCAGGGCTCGGGCTGCCCAGGCATCCGCGGGAGTGAGGATGCAGGAGAAGTTCGCTGAACAAGGAACGAGTGGCTACGCAGCCAGCTCTGCACCATGGGGGTCCTGCAAAGCCGCACAAACCGCCAGTAAATCCCTGCTCCGGGAGCTGGCTTTTGTCACCTGATTACCACTGCATTTGATTAACAACAAGGCACAGGCACAAAAGGAAAAAGAATCAAAGCAAGAGAATTTTATTTGAATTTCACTGCCCGCCTGTGCAATCGCCCCTCCCGCGCTGCTGTAAGCGCTGGCCTATTTCAAGGTCTTCCTGCTCTCATCAAAATTATAAGCAAAGACCTCAAAACGGCTCCGTTTCCTCCAGCAGCGACTGCACAAGGCACCCGCAGATGAAATGTGTCAGCTTTGCCTGCTTTTTAAATCTTGTCACTGTGCATTTTGCTTGGCTAGCGTGTAAATTCCTTGAAGTTTCAGCAAATCCCGAGTGGATCAGCTTCTAAAGAAAACCCAGTAATAGCATGATAAAGGGTATCACGCAGCACAGCCTGTATTAGTTTGCAAGGTTCTTGGGCTGGATATACAGAGAAGTGATTTTTTTTTTGGGTGCTGAATTTGGAGATGCAACAGCAGGGCATGGTTTTTCTCCCAGCCTAGGGTACATCAAGTCTGCTCTCCCTCCAAAGCCCCTTCCTACAGCAGGAGGGGTATTTGGCAGCATCCTCTGACCTGCTCCCACCTACCAGTCATAGAATCATAGGATCACTTTGGTTGGAAAAGACCTTTAAGATCATCAAGTCCAACCTTTAACCTAACCCTGCCATCCCACCACTAAACCCTGTCCCTCAGCACCTCATCTATCCTTCTTTTAAATACCTCCAGGGATGGGGACTCCACCACCTCCCTGGGCAGCCCATTCCAGAACCTGACAACCCTTTCTGTGAAGAAGTTTTTCCTAATGTCCAACCTAAACCTGCCCAGGCGCAGCTTCAAACCATTCCCCCTCGTCCTATCATCTGTTACCAGGGAGAAGAGGCCGACCCCCACCTCCCTACAGCCTCCTCTCAGGCAGTTGTAGAGGGCGATCAGGTCTCCCCTCAGCCTCCTCTTCTCCAGACTAAGGCCAGTCCTGACCTTCCAGCGGGGCTCATCACTTCTTGCTCTGCTTAGCCCAGGTAGGAAGGAGTTAACGGCATGTTTTGGAAGGACAGCACTAAAACCAGCTCTGTTATCCATCTCCATCTCAATAGGTCTTCTCCTTTGTAGACACAGCCCCATGGGTGGTGGGGTTAAAGCCCTTTCCCCGAGAGGTTTCGTTGCCTTCTCATCTGCAAATGTCATCCTCCAGCCCGTACCACTGCTGGGCACCCAAGCAGCATCGGTGGTCGTGGAGAGTTTTGCTTGGGGTTTTTTGGGGATTAAGGCCAGCTGAAGAAAAAATAGAGAAAAACAGGAAACGAATAACTCAGTGAATGAACTCAGGTTCTTTTTACCAGGGAGCCAGGGGGGAATAATTTGGGCTTTGAATTTATTTAACAGACAGGAGGGGAGGAGGAATTGTTTGGTTTTTTTTTTTATTTTATTTCCATCTTCTTCCAATCTTGGAGGACAATCTGATAAAGGGAAATAATCAGGGAAGAAAAAAATCTCCTAACACCTACAACGAGACTGACTGTCAGAAAAAAATAATAATAGAACAGAGGTAAAACTCTCTGCAGAAATTTTTCTTCTGGCAGAAAAGCCCATTCTTGCCTGGAAAAGCTTCCAGCAAAAAGTATGCATACAGCTACTGCTCTCACTGCCCCTCTGGACTGACGCAGCTTATCCAAAACCATTAAGAGGTGATGCGATCCTGTCTAAAAATGCCTAGAAATTCCTGACAACAGGCAGGTTTGAATCAAAAAGATTAGACATTGGGAAAAATTCCTTCCCCTTGGGGCTGTCAGGCACAGGAACGGGCTGCCCAGGGAAGGGGTCGAGTCCCCAGCCCTGGGGGGATTTAACAGCCGGGCAGAGGCGGTGCTGAGGGCCAGGGTTTGGGGGTGGAATGGCAGGGGTAGGGGAATGGTTGGGCTTGATGATCTTAAAGGGCTTTTCCAACCTAAACAATTCTGTGATTCTATGAAAAGGCTGTTACATAAAAGAAACCCATTTGCTGGACTGACTGGGACTGAATAGGAGGCAGAAGGTTTTCAGTGGAACATTGGCTGGTGGTGGCCGACTCCCCACTGATTTATTAGCTTGCAATTGTAATTTGCCAACAGTTGACACAATTTTCAGTCACATGAACCCTCTCAATCAAGGAGAGTTCAAAATTACACCCCCCTGGTCTAACCAGGAGCTGGTGGGTGATCAGCTCCTTTCAGTCAAGCTACCAAGGTAACTACTAGCTCCAGGAATCAGGATTTGTGAATCTGTGGATCATCACATGCTTTTTAGATCTCCTACTCGGAGCTCTTCTGATTTTATTCCCTGGGAAGGGCTGGACACCATCATTTCAGGAGCTATGGGCCATGCAAGGGAGCAGACTGCTCCAGCTGTTTGCAACTGGCCCTTGCTCCTGTCTTGGTTTCTACAGGTCACCTCCAGTAGATATTGCAGGAATCTGTAGGTTTGTCCTAATATTGCAGGCTAGATGGAGAGGGGAGCGATGGGGTATGCTGCTGACAGCAGGGTCTCCCATGGGTGCCAGCACTCCAGGATACAAACACATGGTCCATCAGCTGAAAGAAGGTGTGAGTCAACAGCTCACTGTCTTGCTCAGAGTCTTGCACCGCAGTCCATCACCCGGTCACTAGCTTTGCTCTCTGGGCCCATCTAGACACATCCTCAAGTCTGCCCAAAGGTTGCTCCTTGCTTGCATGTTGCCCCATCTAGACACATCCTCAAGTCTGCCCAAAGGCAAGGTTGCTCCTTGCTTTGCTTGCACGTTGTCTTAGCGGCATCTCAGCTGCAGGTGATGCCCATCCCACTTCCTATTCAACACTCGTATGAGTCTATTCATTTCATCTGGAGTCAGTCCTGATGTATCCTGGTGCAAGTATTACTCCATGGATCACCCATCCCACTCCTGGGTGTTGCCCTGGGAGGGCGACAGTCTGGAGTGAGTTACACGCCATGGCTGGAAGATGTCACATGCTCTCTGTACAAACTAGCTCTGATGGAAAACAAAACTTTTTTAAGCATTTTTATTCCCCAGGAAACCATGTGGAGCTCGGACTGCACCCAGCAGTTAAATGACACCTCGTGTCATGCATGGAGTGGTTGCAAGAAAGTAGTGGGGAATAATCAAAACGGCGTTTAGGCAAGAGAGCTGAGGGGCGTGGAACGTATTTCACAGAAGATTCTGCAACGGCATGTCTCCAGGAACACTTTCATTTGGGGACTTCATTTCTTGTTCCCACCCAGGGCTGAAATTCTCCCATGACAGAGCATTAACAGCTGCTTAGAAATGAAAACGACCCAACAGCATCCGTACCTTGCAACCCTCCTAACCCATTGCAACTCTTCTCTTTTCCAGGTATTTGGGGATCACTCGGCCACTGACGTACCCCGTTAGGCAAAATGGGAAGCTGATGGCCAAGATGGTCTTCATCGTTTGGCTCCTGTCTGCCTCCATCACCCTTCCTCCTCTTTTTGGCTGGGCCAAGAATGTCACTGTGGAAAGAGTCTGTCTCATCAGCCAGGACTTTGGGTACACAGTCTACTCTACGGGGGTTGCCTTCTACATCCCCATGGCGGTCATGCTCGTCATGTACATCCGGATCTACAAAGCTGCCAAGGTCAGCGCCGAGAAGCACCGCTTCATGAACTTCCCCAAGCACTATGAAGAGGAGGGCGTCTACTGCCTAGAGACCTCCAGCCGGGGCCACCACAGCTCCAAGCGTACCAAAGCGGTGGAGGAATGCGCCACGCTCTCCAAACTGCTCCGGCAAGACCGAAAGAATATTTCCATCTTCAAACGGGAGCAGAAAGCAGCCAGGACCCTCGGCATTATAGTGGGGGCATTCACATTTTGTTGGCTTCCATTCTTCCTGATGTCAACGGCTCGGCCTTTCATCTGCGGCATCCGCTGCAGCTGCATGCCCCTGCGGCTGGAGAGGACTCTGCTCTGGCTGGGATACACCAACTCCCTCATCAACCCCTTGATTTATGCTTTCTTTAACCGAGACTTGAGGACTACTTTCTGGAACCTCCTGAGGTGCAGGTACAGGAACATCAACAGGAGGCTCTCCGCCGCCAGCATGCATGAGGCCCTGAAGGCCACAGAGAGGCACGAATGCATCCTGTAGAACCACATCCTCCCGCTCAGTGCCTGACCAACGAACTCCTGCCTCTCCATTTCAGGTTCCTTGCTTCTCTTGCCTCTCAGGGCTGGCAGAAACCATGCGTGCTGTTGTCCCCCTGCCAGACATTGCTGCTGAGTGACATCCCTTCCCCTCGTTCCAGGAGGAGCTGTGGTTCTCCTTGCCTTGGGAATAAGTGGGCAGCCCTTTCTTCTCACCGTGTCCCAGGTGGGAGCTGAGCAGCCATGAGCAAGACCAGGGGGTTCAAGGTCTACCACTGATTGTGGGCAAGTCACACCACCTTTCTGTGCCTCAGTTTCCCCATGTGTACAAAAAAAAAAAAAAAAAAAAAAAAAAAGGAAAAGCAAACTTTCCAACAAATCAACCAAAAAAACCTAAAAACTTGATAAGACTGTGGCTCTCCACCTTTGAAAAGGGCTCTAAGGTCTGTGGAGGGTACACAATATACTATGTAAAGATGATGTTGGCTGCACTTCTCTATCGGATACAGCAGCAGCTATAGGCTCCGTTGTAGATCCAAGCACTCATGCCACCCCAGCTTATATGAACTCTTTCCACTGACATAATTGCATTTTACGCACTGAGCTCATGTCCAGGTATGCACGTCAGAGCAGTGATACCAATGACCCCCTTCCTCCCCACACTTTAGCACTGCAGCACTTGAAAGAGGCACCGCTTGCAGAACGAAACACAAACGAACATGAAGTTACCGTCATGGTTGGATAGGAAAGTCCAACGACCTCCTCACCAGGGCAGTGGCCAGTGAGCAGAGACAGTTATGTTTATTGGGTTGTACTGTAATTCATTCTCAGACAAGTGATGTGCGTTCATCATTTGTGGCTAATTGACTCCATAAAAGCACGCTTTGGTTGACAACAGAAAAAAGTAAATAATTTCCCTGACAGCTTTACAGTGCTTCAGTATGACGTCCGGCAAGCTTGAAAAAATAAACCTAAAAGTGTTGTATCTTTTTTTTTTAAAAAAAAAAAAAAAAAAAAAAAAGAAAGAGTCTGGTTTCCTTATTTTGGTGTAGGTTGTTTGGTGACTTTGACTTTAAAGAGCCTCTTTACTTTTATGTGGTGGTGGAACTTGTCTTCTTGCAGTCCTCTTTGCTCTTGGTCAACCTTGTTGCATCAGCTTTGCTTGGTAGCACACAAACCCTTGCCCGTTTGTAGATGATGTCTCTGCTCCATGGGGGCAGTTGTTTGAACATCTCATCTCCTGTCTGGGTTTTCTTGTCAAAGCCAGACTGTTCAGAGGCTTGGGAAAGGGGTTTCTAGCCCTCCCTCCGCTACAGATTTTCTTCATCAAGCAAGAGCGTTTGAATGGCCATAGTCACACCTCTTGCAACATCATGCAGTATGATGCTTCCATGCAGAGCTAAGTTGGCTCTTGGAGGTTTTGGCTGACTGCTAGCATGGTCTGGGTTAGTAATCAAGGGTTTTCCTGTGAAATCTTTCATGCTCTCACTTCCCCTCTTTTTAATAGCCATTTCTATTCTGTTTCTTTTTACGCTTGCTTTTTTTCTAGAGATGCCCAACAAGGTCTCCAGTTTAGACTGGAGATTCACAGCAGGAAAACTGGCTCAAGTCCACCAGGAATGTCCCAGGGGACTGAGAGAGGTTAGGCACAGGAATAGCAACATGGCCAGCTGTTCCCCAAGCTCCTGTCCTCACAGCTGGAGCCAGAATTGCACATAGGAGCAGGGGAGGTTGTTGTAGCTGTCGTATGGGTCTCCAGTGGGAAATATTTGACAACAGACAGTAAAGAGATTTGAAGGAGGACCTAGTCAAGAGGGATCACAAAAGTTTAGCTGCAGCCCTTTCACCTGCTGTCCTACCTAGGAGCTCTTTGTGGAGCACCAAGTGATTCTGCTAAGGCGATTCATGGCTTTTCATCTATCTCCCATGGCTTGTATGTTGGTGTTAGGTTTGTGCAAGGCTGCCCTGGGCCCCCCATGACAGGACCATGCTGTCTGCTGACAACAGAGCATTGCATGCCTGGCAGCTTGGCCTTGCAGCCATGTTCAAGTCTTATGAAGAGCAGCTGAGGGACCTGGGGGCATTCAGCCTGGAGCAGAGGAGGCTGAGGGGAGCCCTCATCGCTCCCTACAACTGCCTGAGAGGACGGGGAACTGGGGGGGTCAGGCTCTGCTCCCAGGGAAGGGGCAATGGGATGAGGGGAAATGGTCTAAAGTTGCTCCAGGGGAGGTTTAGGTTGGACATTGGGAAAAATTTTTTCGAAAGGGCTGTCAAGCACTGGAAGGGGCTGCCCAGGGAAGGGGTTGAGTCCCCACCCCTGGGGGGATTTAACAGCCAGGCAGACGCAGTGCTTAGGGCCAGGGTTTAGTAGTGGACAGGTATGGTTGGACTTGATGATCTTGAATGTCTTTTCCAACCTTAATGATTCTATGATTCAGATCATAACCCCTACTGCTCGGAGGCTGATGTGTATCTCTACAGCCATATATTCCTGTCCAAGACAAACACAAAATCCAGCCTCACTGAACAGCTGAGGGTGTGTGCCAGCAGTAAGGACCTGTCCTCTACCATTCTGCCAAAAACGAATGTTATTGCCCAGGGAAACTTGAGTGTTGTCCCTGAGATGTCCTGTGGTCTTTTAACATGCAAACCAGAGATCCCACCAACACAATGAGGCAGGAGAAAGCATGAGCCTCATTCTCTTGCTTTCACACTGCTGCCACATGAACTGGTGCTAAACCTTGCAATAACCTCTACTGTCCCTTGATCATAGAATCATAGAATGGTTTGGGTTGGAAGGAACCCCTAGAGGTCACCCAGCCCAACCCCCCTGCAGGAGCAGGGACACCTTTAACCACATCAGGTTGCTCACAGCCCCGGCCAACCTGGCCTGGAATGTTCCCAGGCATGGGCCCCCCCCCCCCTCTCTGGGCAACCCCTGCCAGGGTTTCACCATCCTCACTGCAAAGAATTTCTTCCTTAGATCCAGTCTAAACCTACCCTGCTTCAGTTTAAAACCATCCCCCCTTGTCCTGTCCCAGCTGGCCCTACTAAAAAGCTTGTCCCCCCCTTTCCTCTGGGCCCCCTTGAAGCCCTGACCAGCTGCACTCAGCTCTGCCCGCAGCCTTCTCTTCTCCAGGCTGAACACCCCCAGCTCTCCCAGCCTGGCCCCAGAGCAGACGGGCTTTGGTATATGTTCACCTCGGTGCACTTGCTATCACCCTTCCCCAGCCTGGTTGCAACTTCTCACGATGCCTCTGCTTCCAAGCCCATACAACAGATCTGCACGCACCGCATCTCTAAGGCACAGTCTGCCTGCCCGTCTCAGGACCTACTTATCAAAAACAAGCCCTTTCCTCCCAGAAAACACTTCGGGCCATCATCTCCTCTGTCACAACATTTTTAGCAGCAGCTGGTCACTGGCTCTGGCCTGCCATGGGGACACGAAGGAGCCGCAGGGTCCGATTTCCTCCCTGGGCTCCCCCAGCTCCTTCCTTGCCATGGAGCTAACGGTGCCCTTTTGACAGAGCTGTCTGGATTAAAACTAACCAGCTGCTAATTCAGAGCGCCTGGTAAGGATACAAAAGCCCCGAGACAGCCCATTTCATATTCAGCACATAACAAAAGAGTCTGGTTTGTTCTGCCGCGCTATATTTATGCGCCTTAGGTCACAGTGGCATGGTTTTACTTATTTTTCTGTATTACGGGTTCTTAAACTGCCTTCAGGATTCATAATCTTGTTTAATTCCACTTAACATCCTTATTCTGATGGTGTTTCTAGCACCGCTTAAAAGTATTCTGCAGAAGAGCTATGAAACGGTGTTTGAGCCTCTGAAATGAAGTCATATGAATATTGGGGGGTTTTTTTCTGGTTTGATGGTTCTTCCAGAAGAAAAAGAATAGGGGAAAGAACATGATTATGGATGATCCAAAGCCCAACCTTCCAAGCAAAGAATCAAGCAAAATGGTTCATTTGTCTTGAAAATCAATGTTTTCTTTGACTTGGAATTGAATGTTTTGTTTCACTCAAGGCTTATCTGATCTTTCCCCCCCCCCTTGTATTTTCATTTTAAGCTGTAGTTGTAGTTAAAAGACAAGCTTTGCTCCCAGAAACAAATCCAAAAGTTTGCATCCAAAAACATTTAAACAGAACAGCTTCACTGAAACAAAACATTTTGCTCAAAAACTAGTGAGATGGCTCGCATGATTTTTCTAATAGTTATCGTATGAAGCTGCGAGACGTCGGCTTAAACTCTCGCTTTTTAACTCTCCAAGCTTAAATTGGGTTTGGGTTATTTAACCTAGATAATGTTCATCCAAAGACACCAAGGCCTTTTGCACACACGAGCGAGCACCAACCATTTAGTTAAGCCAGTCAAGATCCTTGTAGATGAGCTGCTAAATCATGCTGAAAACACTCTCTGTGTTGGGTTGTTGGCTTGTTGGTTTTTTGTTTAAATCAGGCAGGGATTGATGCATTTGGCATCTGCAAAAAAAAAAAAAAAAACAAAAAAAACAAAAAAAACTTGATATAAATCTGAGCCATTTTGAAACCCATTTGAGTGTGCGGGTGTGTACGTAACCAAACTATGTAAGATTTTAGAGAAATTAGCTCGGTAAGAGTCGACCTTTAGGCAAAGATCTGAGCTTATGGAGAAAAGGATCAATTTAGGAGGACAAGGGAAACTTTCGTGGGCAATGAGAGAGTCCCAGCAGACGAGCAGCAGCGCAGTGGAAAAGAATGAGGAGCCTCGGGCAGAGAAAATCGAAGTTGTTCAGGCATAAAACAAGTAGGTCTCAAGTCAGCTTTTTATTCCACTTCACGTGTGGAGGAAATACATACAGAAACACAGGCGGAAACGATCTGGGGAGAAAAGACAGCTTTGACAAACCCCTACGGCCACCCCAGCTGGGGTTTGGAAGTTTTTGATAATGATGTTGAGCAAAGCCAGGCAAGATCAGCTAGAGATGTAACGAAAAGCCCAAGGCAGTCAAAGCCCGCGT